ACCACGCTAGATTTGCTGACCCCCAAGCGTCCGCCCCTACAACTAAGAAATTCATTGATGGAGCGCTAATACAACAGGCGGTATTCGGCACGAAAAAGGATTTTTAAAGTGGTCGATTTTGTGTTTGCGGCTGCCAACCAAGGACGGCGGATCGCTTGGATACCAGGACGAGTCCTTCGACGCCGAGGCAAGGTGATGTGTAGTGTTCAACTTGGTACATTAGTATGGAGACGCCACGTCAATCAGTTAACGGTATACACATGGTGCAGTCGTTCCGAAAGATAACGGATTCGACGTCAATGAATCGCTGGACAATTGCAAGCCTAGTACCTCTGCAGGTGGAGACGTTCCTCACATGGAATGCATGGAAAATGGAGCCCAGTACAGGTCATAGCGAACAAGAAAACTTGTGCAGCCTCTCCAGGTGGATCCGCGTCGGAAGAGCTACGTGAACTTCAGGTAACTCATTTTTTAAGAGAGTGAGGTATTAGGAGAATCATCATCATTACACGTTAGCTGGAGGTGGAAAACACCTCAAATATTGTGTCGCAATACAAAAGGCAAGAAAAGAAAAACAAACAGTAGTACTCCCGCTGAGTCCCCAGTAACGGATGGACATCGCTCCGGAGAGCTAACAGCTGGCTGCCGTAAAAGAAAGTCATATTATGCCTAACGATTGAGATCGTGATTGGAGGGGGATGCTAAACAGGAGAGGGATGGATAAAGGAACTCACAACACAAACGCCATTGGGGCCGGCTCCTAGCCATATCAGCAAGTGTGTCCAACCAAACGTGTTCACCGTCCTTAGGACCCCAACCAGGCAGTCGGGATGCACCAACCGACGCCAACTTCGAAGTGAGGGTTTTCATTTCTCTCGACCAAGTCATCACTTGGCCTCCCCTCCTCCTTTTCCAACCGCACCCACAACGCGCAAACAATGCACGTCGTGGGAGTCGGTGTGCTGGCATGCGCAACACGTGGCCCAGCCATCGGAGCCTGGTGCGTGATATAATCGTGCTGAGCGGTTCACTCGCTCTTCCTGCACCAAATACGCGACGCCGAACACGCTCATTGCTCACGCGGTGTTCCCACCAGACATGAGCTAAGCTGCGAAGGCAGCGATGATCGAATGTGACGAGTCTCTTCAAGTCTGTCGACCTGATGGGCCAGGTTTCACAGCCATATAGGAGAGTTGAACGGACGGCTGCGTTGTAAACTCTGCCCTTGAGGGCGAGAGTAATGTCGCGTCTGCGCCACAGGTGGCGGAGATTGGCAAAAGCACCTCGACCTTTTGCTATGCGGTTCGTAACCTCATCTTCAATCCCACGGGTGCTAATATAGCTGCCCAGGTACTTGAATTCCTGAACGACTTCTAGCAGATCACCACCAAGCGTTAGCGCAGGGTTGGATCCCTGCCAATCTTGGAGAAGTACTTTGCATTTCGATGGAGCAAAGCATAGCCTAAAACGATTGACAGCCAGTGCTAATCGGTTCAGTGCTGTTTGGGAGCTGTCACAGATTAGGGCAATATCGTCTGCATACTCCAAGTCAAGAAGTCGCTCACCAGGGAGTAGCTCCACACCTTCTAGGTCGTGTCCAGCGAACGCTGTTTCCATGACTTCATCAATAGCGAAGTTGAAAAGGAAAGGTGACAGCGGGCATCCTTGTCTCACACCGCTGGTGATACAGAAGAGTGGCGAGAGTTTGCCATAAACCCTCACCCTGCCCGAACTATGTGCGTACAGCGCTTTGATAATGTTTACATATTTATCAAGCACACCTTTCCTCAACAGACAGTCCCAAAGGGCACATCGATCGACTGAGTCGAAGGCACCTTTTATGTCAAGGAACACGACAACGGTGGGTCGCCAATAAACATGGCGGTGCTCCAACACTTGACGCAATGTGAAGATGTGGTCGATGCAGCCCCGACCTCGACGAAATCCGGCTTGCTCTTCACGAATCTGGCTTTCACGAGTGCCAGTCAGTCTGTGGAGAATAAGAGAGGCAAGCAATTTAGAGGCAATCGAAATCAGACTGATCCCTGTATGATTGCCACATTCTAAACGGGAGCCTCCCTTGAAAATTGGGACAATGACGGAGCGGTTCCAGTCTGTCGGGACTGTCTCCTGCTCCCAAAGTTTTACTAGCAACTCGTGTAGATCATCTACTAGAGCAAGTCCACCGAATTTGAAGAGGGCTGGAGGAATCCTATCTGCTCCTGCGGCCTTATGCAATTTCAGCTGCCTGATCTCACGTTCGACTTCTGCGCGTGAGGGCGGATGCAAGGAGACGGCCCAAGGAGAAGGGCGCTCAATGCCCGAAGAAAGCGATAACTCAGGTTGGTTAAATTGTCTCGCAAAGTGTTCAGCCCAACGCTCCAAACGTTTTGACAGGCTGTGGATCATCTGCCCACTCTCGTCGCGTACGGTCTCGCTTACATCAGGTCTCCTGCTGCCTGTTGCCCGTATCAGACGGTATAACTTACGATGATTACCAATGGCAGCGGCTGTTTCCATCTCAGAGGCACGATGAGACCACCAGGTTTCGCGGTCCTTCTTTAGGCTAGCCCGTAGTTTCGCCCTGAGATTTTTGCGAGCTTCATTGTATACGCTTCCAGCCGGAATACGTCGGCGGGCATCCATAAGTTCCATAGACTGTGTAGAGACCCAATGTCCGGTTTTGCAATTTGTTTTGCCACATGAAGACATGCCTGCTAATAGCAACGCTTGACGAGTATGCAACCAGTGATCTTCAACGGTGTTTAGTGGGCGCTTACTCAGCCCAAATGTCAGCGCATCTTGGTACACATTCAGAACATCTGGCTTCGCCAGCTGGCTGGTGTCAATCCGTCCACCTCGACGTCGCGGACGTCCACCGAAACGCACCAGGAGGTCGGCACATACAAGTGCGTGGTCAGAGTCCACGCTCGTGCTCCAAATCGAGCGACAGTTTTGGACACAGCCTCTCCAGCGGTTAGTGATCGCGATATGATCGATTTGCGTCCATGACTGGCCCGAGGCTGGTGGCCGCCAAGTCACACTTCTGCGGGTGCTGTGTCCAAAGTTAGTGCTCGCAAGAAACAGGCGAACATCTTCACACAGCTGGAGCAATCGCTCACCATTATCATTACGGGAGCCTACACCATACGAAATGAATTGGAATATTGGTAGCTCGGGAGGCTTGCTCAGTTGTTGTGGAGTTCTCCGAGCTGGGCAACTTGGTTGCAGACGTTTCGCCACCATTCGAGGTGGCATCTTCAGTGCGGGATTGGTAGCAGTGAAGTAGCAGTAGCTGGTAGAAAGCAAACCCAATAATGGATACTGTCGGTAACTACTCCGTTCCTTATATAGACAAGAAAACTGATCAGCCACTCCGAACGACTTGTGGGATTTAGAAGTGGCGATGTGGACGGAAATTCGCACACCCTGATACCTGAGGCGCAATGGTGTCATGTTTGCACAGTAATTGGGTGCGGTACGAATTGGAGTTTGCCGCGCTCAATCATTTCGGACTCAGAGAGAAAGGGAAAGAGCGCGATGAGACGACCTTGAGGCACTCTACTCGTTGCAGCGACTGCGTGAGAGTCTCTCATACAGCCTTGGAAGTCGTCCAGCCCAGTGATTAAGCAAACAGTCTTAATGCCGTGGCCTCACTAATGCTGGCGTTAGGTGGGATACTCGTTTTTCTCAGAATGTGCTCTAATGCGACGACTAACCTGTGCATTTATGTGGCGTGTTCAGGATGTCGTTACTTGCTATTCTTTCCAGTGAAATTACTATCGCGCTATGGTATGCTCAGAATGTACGAAGCAATTCTCGATGGTTCTGTTGTCAAAGATAGAGCCGCTCCATCTGAAGCCAACAGCGATGCGGTCAATATGGGCCCACTGCTGGCTAGCTAACGCTGATCTCCAGGCGGCAAATCGGTGTCCATTGTGTCCGAATGCCACAATGAACGTTCACTATCGCCAGTGTTTCAGGCATGAAACAGGAACACCCAAGCTACCAGATTTTCTGAGGAGTTCCAACAACCCCCAAGCGAATGCATATCCCCGTCAGTCAGAGATATTCCGGAGATGGTATCACGGTGAAATAATGTGTCAAGTCTGTGGTAGAAATCGTGTCTGGCAACATCAGGACTGCGATCGACTGGAGCACATGCGGTAACCACGATCAAACAACGTCTAGAACTGCTTCTTACAATGATCCCATTTGCTGCTGTCAGGAGAACGAAATCAACAAGCGACTTCGCTGTGGAGAAGAGAACGGCTCTCACATCCGACTGATCTGTTGAGGCTGCATCAGCCTACCGGAGGCGTTCAACTAATTAGACTAGGGCGAGCTGGGTGCAATTAGTGTGACAAGGTGGGAGTCCTGTATCCTGGTTTCGGGCGCGCAGCAAGGGACAAAACAGCGCGTTCGATTCGCGTGTATGCGGAACCCCAATGACCTATGGTGGCAAGAATGTTGTGTGCGTCCAAAGTAACAGGACAGTGCCATCTGTTAAGAGGTGGAAAATTAAAGGGCACAGGAGAGTCCAAAACCAAAGCACGGCACGCAAACTTGATCACAAAGCGGGGGAACTACGGTACTTCTGCATAATAAAGCTGAATTTTAAGGAAATGAGTATAATCCCACTCTTCAGCTCAAAATGCGGGGTTCAGATTTACTTAACCTCTAAACAGGGTCAATGAGGTGGAACCAGACGCTGACTGACGGGAAAACCAACCATTGTTATTCAGGTAAGCATAAAGTAGGGGTGCTTTCTCATCGAGACAAATAAACACTGTCGAAAAGTATGCGCCCACATTGCAGATTCAGCACAAGGGGGGGACGATGTATGCTGCTACACGTGTTTTCAATGATCCATTTCGTATAGCGTTGTACGATGGGTGTTCCCTAGGAGCGGATATTGAGGTATTCATAGTAAACAGTAATCTCATGTGATAGTTTAAACAGAAATACGTGCCCGAGTGATATCTTACCAAGATTCGCAAGAATGAGACAAATTCTGTAATATGCATGTTCATTAGTCCTCAATAAGACTAAAAACGGGCAGACCTATCAAAATAAATTTCTTAGCCAAATTGGTGGTCACTGGAGTGATGAAGCAGGAAAATATAGAACAGAAAAATGGATAAGCGAATAGGAAAAAGCAAGCAGCAGCAGGCACTGAGACCGGGGAAAATATTGCCTGTCCATCCGGAGATGGTTTTCCCTTGAGGCTTCTGAAACACTTAAAAGTGATTGCTGGGACTGACAAAAGATCCCACTACTAACCCGTGTACAGTCAAGTTGATCACAGGAGGGAAGCAATGTGGGTTCAGATAGGTACGTACCGTCCACATACGAACGACAATGCACGGAATTCACAAATCTGATAAACAAATTAGGGATAGGAGAATCCGGAAATGAAAGACCAACACCACATCTGGGAATCAGTACAGAATGGTGGAAATTCGGACTATGTACAATGCAATAAGCGGTCGAGACCGGATAGAAAAAAGAATGGACATTAAACAACTATCCATCTGTATGCTTCGTTGGCCTGCTTTGAGAATTCTGTTGAAGGGGTTCATTTTTCCATCGTTTATAAAAATAAGGAACCCTATCTCGATTTGGATTCTTAGTAGATGAAGAAGCAGAAACTTCATCCATGCATGATTTCTCTGATAGTTTAAATGCGGTGTCCCCTTGGTTGACACTTTGCTCGGGACTGGTTTGGATCCGAGAAACATGATACACAGGTACTGACTGGTGGCGATCGGACTCGTTTCTGTATATGGTGTTGTCATTGAAAGTCATTAGTTTTGTTGGACTGTAACCTATTGACTCATTTGTGGAATTGCGATTAGATCCGTTAACAGACGCCGGTGACAACCGTAAACCTTTGTTCACAGAAGCAGACCGCAGTTTGCGGCGATGAGGGGTATGTGATGATGTCGACAATCGGTGAATTGACACAGGGGATTCAGAACGATCAGAGTTTGTGAAAGATGCAGGGGAGTCACGACTAATAAATCCGGCAGTTCGTGCGCGTTTTGGTTGAGATACACGGTCATCAAACTGAGAATCCATGGCCAGTTCACACTCGCGATCCGGTCGTTTGTCATCCGCTAGTAGTTGTGCCTTTTTCCGGATAACCCTGTTCGCAGCGACCGAAGCGAGGCTCTTGCTTCTGGGGCGCATTCTTAAGGAAGCAGGACTGAGAGAGGAGTGGCAATCTGAAGACGCAACATTCTGGTTAGGAGTACAATCAGATGCAACTGCAGCTGTTTTTGAGCTTGATCTTCTGGCCACTTTGAGATTATGTCTCATCTCAGTGGAGTGGATGTCTGGGGAAGTACTGTCCAATGAGGTTGAAACTTCGTGGCTGTACAACTTCCCAGTTTTTCTTATCCGTTCTCCGGACTGCTTCGAACAAGCTTTACTTTTTTGAGATTTTGACTGCGGAGAGTCAGCACAGTTGCGAGATTTGGTGCACAGTGACGTCCGGCAGTTGATTTTCTCAGTGACCACATCAGCATTGTCATGAGAATACCGTACCAAACCAGTTTCGGATTCCGTATCTGCAGCAGTGTTAGGAGGAGAGGTATTGACAGCAGCTCTTGCGTTATCTGGTGATTGCAATAACCTCCTCTTGGCAGACTTACATCGTTTGTCTTTCAAACAGAGTTGCTCAGTTGGAATGTCTTTGTTCAAAGCAGCTACTGTGCGTCCTACAGACTTACGTTCATACACATGCTTCAGAGGAGTGGAGCCATGCCCAGAGGAATTGTTCTTGTAAGATTCCTTGCATTTGGTTACCAACCGTGATCCAGAAATCTGGTGTTCACGAATGGGAGATATGGGTTTATCCAAGTGGGTAGAATCGGAGCACAGTTGTTCCGATGGACCTAGTTGGGAGGAGTCATGAGCAGACTTTAGGCGACTGATGAGTAAGCTGTGAACCTCGATGATACTATCCATGAATGACAATAATGCACCAGTACTTGTTTGCCAGCCGTATAAAGCGGAACAGGCAGTCAGGCCAAAGATGCGATCATCGATCAAGCGACTAGGGTAGGAGGGATTTTCTTGTGTGGGAATGGGTCCTACAGGTGAAGCGGGCAGCCATTGAGGTAATTCGGTGGCCATCTGCTCGGACTGGTCCCATTCAGCTAGTGCCTGAAGAGTCATTTTCTCCAGATGAATAAGGTGAATGATCCGCTGGAATGAGATCGAGGACAAGATCACTGTGTCTGTGTGAAAAAAGAACAAGTAATGCAGTTGTAAGAACAGGCGGGACTAGAAACAAGAAAGAGTGAATTTAAATTTGCAAACACATTTGGAGCTATGCTGAAAGAATCCGACCAATGACAAAGCTGAGGTGCGACGGCGACAGTTACGATTTCGTGGTTGAAGCGTGGAAGTGGTATGTGCTGGATGGGGTAAATGAAAAAACAATGCACTGCTAAATATTGGATAAAATTAGAGGACTAATCAGTAAACTGATTTACCAATAGTGCGAAAAGTGGAATTCGCCAAGTGTGCTACACCCCATCTCTGCTTTAAATTTGTGACACAAGTGGCCATACGTGACTCTGTCGCTATAGCCTCTTCTGGAATGAAACCCTGCCAGGTGACCGACTGACAAACCTTGATTATGCGGACGACACAGCTCCCATTGGGTCAAACTCAGCGTTTGTGCAAGTACTACTGAATAGGCTGATGCGCAGCGCTGTACGTTTGTGCACGTGATGCATAGTTTCAAAGTGCAAAGTACTGTTGCGGTAGTGCGCCGACATGTCCATTGTTTTAGCTATCTCCGAACACATCCGGAAAAGGTCGATCGGTTCACTTACCTAGGAAGCATTATGGCATTAACTGGTCACATAATTGGCAAGGTTACTTCACATAATAACAGACTGTGTGGCTTTCTGAGGTTCCAAACGTCCATAGAGTTAGCAAGATATCAGCATGTCAAGTCACCGATAGAGTGAACAACACTGCGATAAAGTCAGTGTTACTGTATGGATTTGAAATATAGTCGTCTGGCGCTAAAATATTAAGATGCTGATCGTCTTTGATCCCTGATGCTTGGGAATGACGCTAGCAACTCGTGGGAGCACTGAGTCAATAGTACCAAGGTTCGTCAAATGGGATTTGGAAAGTACTCATCTGATGTAGCATGTGGATAACTACAAAACCTGCGAAGCACAAGTCGTTAACGTCAAGCCCTCTGCACACGTGTCAGGCTAGCATGCACATGTGCATGGTCGGAACCGAGGCAAGTGCCCCATATAGGCCGACAATCTTGCGCCGATGAGTGCCATACATAGCTGATCGCAACATGGCCAGTTTGAGTCTAGGGATGTCTGCTGACCGATAGCCCCAGTGTAGTTTAACATAAACACCTGAACAGGAAAGCTATGCTGTCGATATGGAGGTTGTGAAAAGAACACAGCTGAGGAAGGCGGTCGCCGTTGTCAGTTTGACGATCACCGACCGCGAAACGGTCTCCGAGGCGAGCGACCTGAGCATTCCTGTAACACGCAACGACCAAGATGTCCGTAGCTTTGGACGATGGGAAAAAGAGAGGCTGTTTATTGGAATTGCTTTGACGACTAGTGGCTTGCAGGCAACGTGAGCGTATACAAAGAACAGTATAAAAAACGCTGACGTTGGCATCAATTTGTTAACTTCGACCGGCTGCTTACTGGGATCCACCATAGAAGAAAAGCCCTTACATGAGGGAGATTCTAATAACCTAACTGCTGTGGGCCGTTAACTCAGTAACATTGATAAGGTGAAGTGAGAAAATGCGACTACTGGAACTCAAGTCTAGTATACGTATGGGCGTACTGAATACGCAGTATACATGAACTCAAAGAACGATTCCAGTTGAACAACGGAACAGCTTGAGAAAACCGGAAGGACTTTATGTGATAAAAGGGTGACAAGGTTTGCAAGGCGGTTCACTTCCCCGGGTAAGCTTGCATATCTGAGAATCAAAACAACTCTTACTCATGGTTCGACGGAATCGTTTGCTCTGTTCCGCCGCTAGAGGTTAGGGAAAAGCAACATGGGATTAGGTTGAGTGTACCAACTCCAGCATCATCAAGGATGGAATCACGTCACTGGTAGCGTTGCCCAGAAGCGGGGGATGAGGATGCATAGGTGTCAAACGTACCGGAAACAATGATCGATGCGCAGGAACAATGAAGGTTCAGTACAAACTCATGTGAACATACCCCCGACAACTAGGAGCATATCCGAGCTGGTATCATTAGGAACTAATGCATTAATTCCATGGTAGAAGACATCTGACAACAGCAGGATCGTGATCGATGGGAGTAAAGGTGGAAACCGCAAAACAACAACGACTAGCGCTGCTAAGGATGATAGTTTTAGTTGATGATGTCAAAGGCATTATTGGCTATATCCGAACACAGCTAGTTCAAAGACTGTGTAATTGTCATGTTTTCTCGTTTCAGACAAGTAGCTGACAACACCCAGGGTGTCCAATGTGCGTGTAAATGCAGCGCATTTATCGGCTTTGGTGCAAAGCTGTGCACTATCACTAGAACACGGTAACGTGCCGCTACATGAGTCCAATGGGTGCTGCGTGCATGTAGTAGCAGGTGGCATAACTCCAGCAGTACTGCAGGTGCTGTCAAAAACGTTGCAATCAAAGGAAAATTAGTACAGGGAAGTATAGGGTGCATAGAAATAGGCAGAATGGAGAAGAGACATCCGCAGTAGTAATAGTTTTCTATTCTGTCTGCTGGATGCAGCAGATAAGCTGGTCCTTTTAAAGCTGAGCGACAACAGACGCAGGATGCCATTGAAGTCTGATGAAATAGTCGTGGGCGGATATGAGGTGAGATACTATTGAAGTGTCCAAACCTAAACAGTATCATTAGGACCCTAAACGAAAGCTTCAAACACAAAAGCCTGATGATAAGGTGGTGGCGAGATGACAACGATCCGGTGTTCGAAAGGACAAGGTGTCTACCTAGTAATCCAAGGGTAGCCGGTTCGGATCTGCGTAGGAGCGAGTGAACTCGTAGTATACTAGCCGACGCGCGACTAGCGGTGGTCGCGTCGGTACAGTGTGCCGGTGTACTGCTGATTCTTTTTCCATTTCCCAGCTCAGTGGATTGGAGGCATACAAACCATCACACCAGGTTAAATTGCACTCACTTTGCGATCGCATGTGTTCCAGACCGACTGACAATACTGAATTGAGCTGCATCATTTATAGCATATGGAGATGTCTCTAAGAGTGCACGGCACCATGTTGCTTCACGGGTGCCAAGTAAGTAAGTTAAACACTGTTTGATGTCGCTGATTTAGGGCTTATCAGCCAAGCACAGCTGATGATGATAGTCAATACAGGTGCGACAGATATCAACCAATGACAACACGGAGCTGGCATTTCAAATCCGATAAGCGAGTCATGTGGTGACTCAAAATAAAAGCAACAATAGTTATATCCGCTAACCCAGCAATTCGACCAAAAAGGTGGATGGTTATCGAATTAATTAAAGATGATTTAGCAAAAACACTACATGAACTACTTGAATGTAGCGGCACTGATGACAAATTTGTGTGCAAATTTCAAATTGAATAGATGCCTACTGGGATGGTAACATACCTAGTGCGAGACGCTCCGACATTCTAAACACCGCAATTTGCTTATCATCATCGAAAAGGCAAACATTAAAGAGTTCTATGCCAGTAATGGGCCCGGTAATTGCTGACAGATTAGAAGAATGTAGTCCTGTGGCTGTGATCCGAAGAAACAGCACATTTATTCCACGTCCGGAGAAAATGTAGCTTATTTACAGTTGCCAGACAGAATAAAGAGATAGAAAGTTTCCATGAGTTTGTACCATACGTTTGGAAATTAACTTGGTGCGCTTGCTAGAGTAGCTGAGGAAATCAACGGCACTGTTTACTGGTTAATCTGATATGAGACCAAGAAAGATTGTCAGCATTAAAGACGAAAGATTTCTGTTGACAAATTTTAGTTGACAAACTGTGCCTCAACTTCTATAACACGGAAGGATTAAAAAAAAGATGGAAGGGCACCGGCAGCAGTACGCCGGTACACCGTGTCGAAACTTGGTTGATACGCGACCACCACCACCAGTCACACGCACGCCAGGTATAGGTGCGAAGTCCCTAGCACCTTCACAGATCTGGAAGGGAAACCTTTAGATCCCAAAACAGACTGTTTGTACCGATCGGGCACTGGCCATCACGTCCAAGAAGTCTATTGTCTACTCTTGAACGTAACAGTCCGAACAAAAGCAGCGAGGGGTAGATACAGCTCGAAAGTGTGACCGCAGAGTTCAATGGGAAGCTGTTTAAGGTCAGTCGAATGCGAATTAAGCAGGTTGTGTGAAGCACTCGACACGACTATCGACCTCAGGTGCGTGTATATGTTGTGCACATTGTCCACCAACCAGCTAAAGGAGATTAGAGCAAATGGGTGGACAATAGTTGTGCTCTCTCGATACCAGGGAAACCCGTGAAATTCAGGAAAGATGTCAATTTGGTTGAACTATGATCTGCCCACGAGTGCCGCTTAGAGCTGAGATCCAAAGTGAGAGAAAGAGAGCGCGAGGATGGGGCCAGAACTGAGTTTATCTGCCATGTAATAACAATCCTCTGTCCTGACTACTAAGTCGCAGTCTGCGGCTTGCGCACCCAATCATCAATTCCATTAGTATGCAGCTAGTAAAATAACATGAGGCATCAATGGCATGTCTGGGGATTATTATCGACCGTGCTAATGGTAGTTGCATACTTCTCGATAAAACGAGCAGCCCTTGGGATCTGATCATTGTACAGATTGTAGAGCACAAAAATGTCTCATATATCTTGCTCTGGAAGATAGTTCGATGATTTTAACTGTTTCCTTTAGTTTTGCGTCTCGAGTAGCAGAGATGATTCGCACATACAATAAACTTGCCACCAGCAACCCACATAAGAGTAATCATAGAAACTTGTGTTGTGTCTTTTTTTAGAAAACTTCCGTCCCACCATTTACTGAACTATCAACAGCCGATGTGAGCCTCAAGCAGAGAAAGTGTGTTTCCACTCTAAAACGTGCACGAATGAGAGCAATGCTAATGGTGCACATCACACTGCCTTGATAGAAGCTCCATTTATGGCTGTCCTGGATGTGTATCCTGGTCTGACACATTTGCGCCGGACGGCCTCACACAAACAGCCGCTGAATAAGACGCTAGGCAGCACATGTACTCTAAGTGTCACAATTGATCACTGATGATATCATTCCAAATAGAAATATATGGGCATTTTGTGCACTAGTGAGTCTGTCGAACTCATATTCTCCGGATCAAAATAATGTATGAGATATACTGGTGAAGGCGACAACGATCAAGACACATATCTGGTATGATTTCCTTGGACTCTCACAATCAAGCAAAGGCGTATCGAGTGATGATGGCTCACATCAATACGATGGCCCATTGCGAAGCTGTAAGATGACCCAAGTAAGATTGTCTTCAGCGGATACAACGCTGGCAAAAAGACACTGATAGTCAACTTGTCGGTGTGCATCGAAATACCTATAGAAATTAAATCATATTTGGAGATGAACAAAGAAAACTCAGGTTAGACAAATGATGAAAGGTACTATGATTTGGAGTAGTTGTGAGGCGGGACAAATCGATCAAGTGCACTGAAAACGTTTGCACTCACAGAGGACAAACAGTTGTCATAAACAGGCGATCATGTTGTGTGGAAGCGTAAGGTGCACTGATCGATGTTTACCGAAACGAAAACCACCAACGAAGTAAACAAACCAAAGTATGATTTGTTGAAAAGCACTTGCCATTGCATGACTTGTTTTCCACGTCGTCAATGAACCGAAGATGTAATCCGAGCTTGGAGAGCTCTTCTTCAATCTAAAAAATGGAAAAATCGAAGACGACCAAGTCACGTAAAGGATCAAAGCGGAAGAAAGCAAGTCATTGTGTGCAGCTGAAGATAATCAGAGCTAAAATGTGTGCAGGACAACATCAAACACTGCAAATTCTAGATAGCCCCAAAGCGTCCTCCAAAATGTACAACTAAGCTAGGTGAGACATTGCAATGGCAGTACATGCAATCCCCACGCGAAGGATGTACACGTTTCATTTCAGAGTAGGAATATGGTGCGCGAAACTGGACAAGGAGGTGATAAGGCATGTCAAAGTTACATACAGGGATGGAAGCAAGATCTTATGAGAAGAAGCGGAAGCCCATTCAACGTGTGACACTCCAATACCGAGGAATAGACGAAACAGTGACAGATAGCTCCGTCGCAACGAGACTGGGGCTTAAAGTTGAGCGACGGTTTGTGTACCTTTTCGACCCACTGAGTTACATTGGATAGTGCCCTCGGGCTCCTTCCGAGCTATTTTTATCAGGCTGGTCAATGGTTAGAGGTCATTATAGGGTACCGTTAAAGTAGAAGCGAATGTTTCGAGTACTTGTCCGAATCGATATTGCGTGATACCAATTTCAATGTTGTGCCACTGGAGAAACCCGCATAGATACTCTCCTCCACTGGAACAGCAGTGAAAAGAGACACAGGATCTAATGAGGATATCTTCCGACCGGCTAGTTCAAATCGTCAAATATAGCCAAGAAAATCAAAAGTGGTCTTGAGGCTGCATCCGGTTATGGAGTTTCTGACGCATTTCCATCGTCCGACAAGCCACCTGGTGGTTGAATGTTACAGCCAGTTACACATATCCTATATCCGCCTTAGCAGCAGCCCTTAACCGTTTAAATTGGGCAGGTTGTAGGGTTCTGCAAACAATATCACACATGATCTAGTGTATTAGAATATCTATCTACCATATATATATATATATATATATATATATATATATATATATATATATATGTCAGAAGAGCTAATGGTGCGCTGAGGCCGATAGTGGTTAGACCCTAACAAATGGTCTACCCACTGCTGCTACTGTTGTGCTATGGTCTCATGTCCTGGACGCCTTCTCTTGGCGACCGGTGGGTGGGAGTTGGGTTACCCCCTTCTCCCTGCTAAGATCCAGGACACCAATCCGCAAGAGTCAGTGAACCGACCATGTGATAGACCCACTGTCTTTCGGGCGTATTTCTAATCGAAGACTTTGGCTGAGGACCTGAATCGTTCTCCTGTCAGGTGTGGGCGCCCTGCCAGTATCCTAGTCCATCCTCATCGGAGGTTAGGAAGTGGTCGATGGTCTTCTTCCCGTAAAACCTAGCCAAGGGAGACAACAGATATACGGGGTATAGGCTCAAAGCTCGACAGGCGTAGAGCACGAGCGCCACGCATTGTCTCTGACGGTGGGAGCGCACCTCCGGGTCTTAGTGCTCGCATCAAGCCAGGCAGCCCCTGGTCAAATTGGTGCAAACTCGCCAAAACACACCTGCGTCTGGCCGTGGTCGCAGGTGCGTATCCAATTACGGTCGCAACACATATAATAATTGTTCCAGTAACTCAAAGGCTGCATGTGACAGACATCAAGCAGGTCCCAATCTGTCTTTGCAATCAAATTCCCCAGCTACATCTGCTCTCACTGCCTTGTGGGTCAGGCTATTGAGCCAAAGGTTCCGGGTGGAGTCCGTCAAGCAAACCCGCCACCACACGTGCGATTGCCCACCAATGCAATCGTATGCCTGCGCGCAAAGCACTTAGCATCGGGTGCTGGAACGTGTGCACACTATTGGATCGGAACTTGAGTGAACGCCCCGAGCGACGCACTGCACTTGTCGCGATGGAACTGGCGCGCTACCACATCGATAGTGCGGCGCTCAGTGAGACTCGGCTCGCTGAGCAAGATAAGTTGCATGGAGCAGGTGCTGGCTACACATTCTACTGGGTGGGCAACGCCGCCTCAGCACCACGTGAACATGGGGTCGGATTTGCAATATCCCATCGCCTCCATGGCCAGCTGGTGGGTGAACCAACAGGCATCAGCGCGCGACTGATGCCTGTTCGCCTACGACTCGGGAGAGGTAAGTTTGCCACTTTGATAAGCACCTACGGTCCGATCATGTGTTATCCTGATGACACGCGTAATCATTTCTAGAATCACCTATCCTCCGTGATACGGTTTGTGCCGAGAAGCGAGCGACTATTTCTGCTGGCTGATTGCAACGCGCGCGTTGGGCGTGATGCATCGGTGTCGACAGATGCCATCGGTCCGCATGGCATTGGTTCAGCGAATGCGAACGGTGACAGGCTGCTCTCACTGTGTGCCACTCACGGCCTGACGTTCACGAACACTCGGTTTGCACTGAGTGCGCGTGATATAGCAACTTGGGCGCACCCACGGAGTGGTCACGCTCACCTGCTCGACTATGTCATCGTACATCAGTGTGATATGCGTGAAGTGCGCATGACACGTGTACTGCGTGGAGCTGAGTGTGGCACTGATCACAAATTGGTTCGGACCAAACTGTACATATATTTTCGTAAACTTATGTATTTCACTCCTACCGGGAATCGGCGTAAATTTAACATTCTCTCCCTCGGTAATGTGGCGAAACATATTGAGCTGGAGAAGGCGATGGCTACACTCCTGTGTGATGTGGAATGCATAGCCACAGTAGCGACCTGTGGCACCACATTCGCGACCAGGTGACAGGTGCTGCCGAAGTGACCATCGGGCGCGCAAACTGTAAGCGACCTGAAGGGACGATTGGCGCATTGGTTTGTGAGGAGAATGCAGCATTTGCTGCAAATGTAGCAGACCCCAGTGACTTGGGGAAGAATAGTCAGTTTCGCAAACTTCGACGGCGACTGACCCGAGAGCTCCGTCGCATTAAAAATGCATGGTTGACGGAGTAGGCGAAGTAGATGGAATGCTACGCCGAACGCCGCCAACACAAGGAAATCTTTGACTCCCTGAAGGCGGTGTATGGACCGAGATTGGAGCCGCTGAGGACGCTGATCGATGGTAGCTCAGACTCTACCTGCACACAGATTGTAGACATAATGGAGATCTAGCGAACACACTTTGACTGTCTCTTGAACAACCATTCCCAGATCGACCGGCCTACTTTGAACGGCCTGAAGCATAACGATGTGAATATGAGTCCGGCAGACGCGACGACACTGGGTGAGACGCAGAGAGCACTTGCTCAGCTGCGAAACGGCAAGTGTGCCGGCACCGGCGGGATCCCGCCTGAAATATTGAAACACGGCGGACCCGCGTTAGTGACTGCGCTGCATCACTTGGTGCAACGAGTATGGATTGAAGAGGAGGCGCCTCCTGAGCTGAAGCATGACCTTGTACTACCACTGCACAAGGGAGCAAGCAATGTTGCCACTTATACAAACTAAACTCCCCTTCCGAACGAGGACAGCAATAAGGAAACGGCTCCAATTTCTAAAATGGAAACGCCCTCCAGGCCGCCGCCTTCATCGCCACCAACCTCAACAGTCGTTAACACCCACGACGGGTGTAACCGATAATATTACTGAGGACACAAACAGTAACCACAGTCCGGAGCAAAACACATCGAGCTTTCCTGTGATATCCCTAGCATCCAAAGAGACCGCGTCACCCACTCCAGAGAATCGATCACATCGCCCCTCTGCTCCTGTTGCGCCTTCCACCGCCTCAGCATCCTCTCGTACATCATCCAGCTTATCATCTGCCTCTGACAGCAACAAAGAATTGGAAATATTTCACTCGTCGCCAGCCGGTTATTTCGCACCTCCACTGTCGTCCCGGATCGCCCAACAACCCTTTTATCACCAACGCCCCAGATTTTAACCCCTCCAATGACCCGAATGCCATTTTATACACGCCCAACTCGATGCATCCCCTTCACCCCAGCCGCGGATAGGGGCCTGTGAACGGCCCGCGGCGCAGGCTCCCACCTGTTTCCCTTCATCCCCTGCCCTGCAGAGTCAGAGCAGTGGATTTGCTGGTTGCTCTTTCAACGAATCAAACGGACCGGCCTCTGCCGACTCCATAGCCAGCTCTAGGAACCGCGTCCACCCGTCACCCACACACTCACCCTTATCACCCATAGCCCTACCATCGGGATCACGACAACCATGTGTACTACTTGATCGCCTCCCTCAGTTGCTGCCATCACCACGATGAAGAGTTCCTCCTGCTGAAGCTACTTTATCAACATCCAAATCTCCCGCCTCCGATCCGGCGACGATCTCTGACGTACTCCAGCCTCCCTCTTGTTCACTGTGCTCGAGGACGTTTAAATCTAGGAGCGGCCTGCGGCGCCATTTGGCGGCCCATCTCAGGAACCCTACGAGTTTACTTACCACAGCCGCTGCCAGGAATACTTCCAGTTTCGAATGCCCAACATGTCACCGTACGTTTTCGACTAAAAATGGCCTGTCACAGCATTGGTGACATCAGCATCCTGTCAGTTACAATGCAGACTGTCTAGCCCGACAACCGAGACAATCTTACAACTGGTCAGCCAGGGATGACAAATCCCTACTTTTAGCAGCCTCACGTTTTGCGGTTACGTCTCCTTTCTTAAATAACCTTTTAGAACGACTGAAGCGCGTCTTCCCCTTTCGCACCAGGGACGGTATCAGAAAACGCTTGCAACGACTTAGATGGTTCTTTCATCAACACCACACAACGTCCACTTCCAGTGCTTTTCCGCAACCATCGACTGAAACCAAATATCCAATCACGCCTCCAGATGGAACCGTACGAGCGTCACCCTTCTCAACCATAATGTCCGATGAATTCCATCAACCTCAGCCTACATTAACTACTAACTTGGGTGTGTCTACACAAACCCCACGAGAATCGTACGAAGGCAATCCTGCGGTGACCACCGCCTCCTCCGACGCTGATTTGCGTTTCAATGTACCATCCCCCACTGCCTCGATAGATTATTCAACCTCGCCTCACTCATCTGCAGCGTTAGT